GAGCTGGTGCAATTGTAAGAAGCCCCACACACGGAGCAAACGCGGAGGCCCTGCGCCTGCTGTGGGATGAGCTGCTGAGGGGTTTCCTGCCGAGGGGCCGTGTGCTGAGAGGCCATCTGCTGAGGGTCCAGGAACCGGGCAGCCAGCTGCCGGAGAGGCAGTTTCTGAGGGAGACCGAGGGGGGGCTCACTTCGAAAAATCATTGTACAGCCCCAAAAAAATCAATTAAAAAATCAAAAAAAATCAAAAAATCAAAATAAAATCAAGTAAAAATTTGCATAAAAATCCAAAAAATCGAGAACTAATGACCCAAAAACCGAGAAAAATGGGCGCAAAACAAGAAAATACACAAAATTTTGGAAATGTAACTGTTATTGTCTTTTTCATGGCTGAAAAATCAAAAGAAAAATCAAAATCAAAAATCAAAAAAATCAAAAAAAATCAAAAATCAAAAAATCATTGTACACATTTCGTTTGAGTGAGCACCCCCTCGAGGGAGACTCTCCCCGGGGGGGAGTGGCTCAAGCCAGTCGCCGTCGAGCATCAAAGGGTCGGTGCTCGGCTCTATGGCCTGGGAGGTAAAAGCGTCCTCATCTCCAAAGTCTTCTTCCTTAACCGAGCACGTGGACTCGCCTTATTAGAGGGAACAGAGATACCAGCATTAGTAGGAGCAGCAACAGCGAACCAAACCCATAAATATCAATTGTAAAACAAAAGTGGGAAAGGGCGTTCAGGTTGAAAAACGCAAGGCTACATAATACGAATATATAATTTTAACAATAATAAATATTCTTAAGAACAGCTTAGCATGAACAATCATCAATGAGACTTTAAGTTTGTCAAACGTCAAACTTAAGTACATTTTGTTATAATTATTATTAACATTGACAGTGAAATTAATTCCATTCAATATTTCACACAAACAATATTTTGATAACTAGGGAATCATCCAGAAAGTACACCTGTTTTTCGTTCAGGTTGGCGCCTGCGAGACTCAGGGTGGGCAACCCCGCAGTACACACGCGCACCACACACCAGATGTTGCCTACCTAACAGGCGCTCTAAGAGCTACTTTGCAGGTGATCGTTAGGGTTGCCTCTGCGCCCGGTGGAGACCCTCGTGCACTTTGAGGGCGCTCCGCTGCCGGAAGGTCTGCCCGCAGACGCGGCACGGGAAGGGTCGCTCCCCCGTGTGGATCCTCATGTGCGCCTCGAACACCGTCTTCTGGGCGAACTGTCGGCTACACTGGGGGCACTGGAAGGGCTTCTCGCCGGTGTGCGTGCGCAGGTGGATCACGAGGCCGTTCTTCTGCGTGAAGCGCCGCGGGCAGTGCGGGCAGCTGAAAGGCTTCTCGCCCGTGTGCAGCCGGAAGTGCACCAGCAAGTGCTGCTTCAGCTTGAAGCGCGCAGGGCACGCCGTGCACCGGAACCTGCGCTCGAAGTCCTCCGCTTGGTCCGGGTCCGAGTCCGACACTGCCCGAAAAATCCACAGTTAAACAACAGTTTGTCACTGTCAATTTTAAACCAGTAGAAAACTGTTATTTTCTTGTTGTATATTGTAGGGT